CCTATCTCCTGTTTGCGTTGCGGGATTCTCTGACAGTGGCTGCTAGCTTCAACGCCCCCTCTTTTGTTTCGGCGTGGTTCCAAGAACGACCTTCGCTTTTGTCCGATTACTGGAAATCAAACCCTGACAAAGTAACCGCCGCTGCTCAACTGGCCTGCCCATCCTTGATTCAGTTCATTAGTACGCCGCTACACCTTTTGGCTCTGGATCTGTACAATCGTCCCACTGCTACTGTCCCTCAACGTGCGACTTTGGTTCGTGCCGAGTATTTGAAAAGTGCGCTGGCTCGTATTGGTCGTATCGGCCCTGCTTTTGGTATTGGAGGTATTGGAAACACCATGGTCCGAAATCATCGATCTTTTATTTGGAAGCGTCAGCAAACACCAACAACTGTAGTATAGCTGGGGGAATTTTAGTGGGTTTTTACTTGTAGATTAGTTCATTAGTTTTATTTTTATTAGTTTTAGCTTTAACTTTTAGCTTTTAGCTTTCTTATCATATGCATATCTATTTATATAATGTAATTTTAATAAAGGCATTGTTTGGATGTCGAAATAGATGTTTGATAAGTGCTGGGTATTTAAATTTTTAAGCGATGAATTGGGCCATATATCAATATTGTTTTCGTGTGAGTTTAGGTTTGAAACATTTTCATTGGGGATTGAATGCAATTAGATGCATCTTGCTCATCTAGTAATGTTTTGTGGGATTTTAGGCAAGGCACAAATTCAGAAAAAAAAAAAAAACTTGGAAGGTGTTGATCAGATGGGAGTAAGCACCGCGGCCATTTAGCATTATAGTAGACGACATCTAAAGATTCACTCACTATGTCCAACACCATCAACCGACTTTTTTGTGGTTAGGGGGGGAAGGGTGGGGGATAGATATTGATACCAACTCAGTTCCACGCATTGGTGAGCGCATACCGGCCCTAACTAACTTCTGTTTAGGTTCTATATCTTTTATTATGTTATACGCAATAAAAATGACGAGCTAGATATATGCAATATGTCCAGTCTAGTGGAAGTCATCATATTCTATAGGAATGAATAGACTGATGGCACAGTCTAAATTGATTAATATAATTGGTAGAACAGGAGTAAGGCCACTTTTCATATAAAGTAACCTAGAAGCACCAGTCAATTGTTGAGGCTCAAACAAGGGATATTCATAGTGGGTGAACTAGAACCTTGGGGTTTTGATAGAGCATTCAAAAAAAATACACAGCAACGACTTTGTTTACTGTCTAATGTGTCAGAGTATAATTAATGAATAAGACTTATTTTATTGAATAATAGCATATGGTCAATACTGAACTAAAGGCTTGGGACTGATTGTAACGAAGGATCTAACGGAGGTAGCATGAATGGGACTCCTGGAAGGAACCCGAGGACCTGAAGAATGGTGTACATTAATCTAAAGGGATGGTTAGGAAAAGGAAACCTATATACTGTAAGATGTGAGACAGATTATAAAAGGATACCTTTTATTGAGGAATACCAATAGTCAACACTAATCTACAGATTGCGATGGTAAAAAAAAATCTCTTGTGCAAAACGATCAAAAGACTATTGGGGGCATTTTTCATTGAAGCAAGTAGAAAGAGACAATTTTATTCAGATATGTATACAAAATATGACGTACTAACACCAAACTAAACTGATGGAGGCTTCAAAAAGCTAGCTAATGATGGTTCTATATAAATCCTGAATCCAAATTGAAAGGGTTTCCCCATGCATGTTGGAATCCCTGAACTGAAACCCTTCTAAACTAGTCCTGATACAATTGTGAGTTCAATATAGGCCCATAGAAGTTGAATGATGAAGGAAAAAATGACTGGAAAAATAATAATCAAAAGGAAAGAGAGCCGAAAAAAAAAAGAAAGCGGGAGAGAGAAAATGAATATTTCACGTGGGCGGGACTTCAAACATATTTTTCTTGGGACTCTTGTTAGACCTGCATGCACTTTATTTTTTTATTTTTTTTATGGATACAAAACAGGAAGTCTTTCTTTTTTTTTCAACAATCAACACCATTCAGCAGCATCAATCTTATGGTTCTCTTTCATATGATAATAATCACCACTATTCGACAGCGGCAGCATGGTTGCGCTCTTCTCTGGTCGCCTTCGCAGACAAGAAGATTCGCCCTAGTTTCGTTTTCCCCATTGACTGTTGAATAGTTTGACATTCACTGTAGGATAGTTTACTCTCTTTTTTGCATTAGTCCGTCCAAATTTATACTTATCCGACAGAAAGGCATTCCCAATCCCATACATACACATCCTAATCACCTCACATTTCAAATATTATCATAGTACTAATATTAGACCTATCAATTCCGTTGTCATAGTTTTATGTTTACCTCTGAATAAATATGTTTTGTCTTTTTGCTTTTATATTGTGCTCATATGCTTAGTTTGTCTTCTCGAATGGATAGGCTAAATTGTACAATGCAGTCCTTGTGCGTGTAGAAAGAAGCTGTCGATGTGTGTGTGCTTGTGTGTGTGTGAAAAAATAAAAATAAAAATAAAAAAGTAAGTATAAGACAATATCGATCAGTCGTCGTGATTAATGCTCTGTTACTGTATAGGTTAATAAAATAGAAGGGTGAGAGGGATTTTGTAATGGTTTTAAAAAATGGCTGTGATGGACATATGAAAAATAAGCAGCAATGAGTGCACAAAAAAAAAAAAAAAAATGGATGATCGAAGCGCGCTCGAAAGCTTTATTTAGAAAGTATTCGTTGAATCACAATTGACGAAGATTGAATATATTCACATGAAGTACATGTGCATGGAAAAATAAAATTGACATTCTCTTGTACAATGATGTGAAAAATTGGTTTTATGCCATGACCATGTTTCAGCAGGAAGGTGACCCCGTGGAACAAAATGAGTCGACAAAAAAGAAGAAATTTCCAGCGTACGCATTTAGTCTGACATTTACGAGCAAAATTGAAGATCTTTTTTAAAGATCATAAATTAAGCTGACTGCACACCATACCCTAACGGAGTGAAGTATTGTAGTTTTCTTTGCAGATGGGATAGACTGCAAATACTAGATTAAAAATCCATATTTCTACCAAAAGTATCGTGATGGTTTTATTTATTTTTCTGGTCTTAGCTCTAATGCCTTATAGTATCATATACCGCTCCATTATATACGTATTATATAATAATATCCCGTCCTCCTCCTCCCTCTACAACGTCTGACCCTTCTCTTTCTTAAGCCATAACTGACGTCATAAAACTACAAATCATTATTAGTCTTACACCCCATCACTATTAGTCCATTAAAAAACCATTAGCAATTATAACCATAAGTATTTTCAAAAGCTTTTATTGGATAATGATAATAATTCCAAACCTACGATACTCCTCCCACTACTGCTACACTGATGTACAACGGGTATTGAAGCGGTCCCTAACAGTCCTAACAGAATAAATGATCATGTCCACCATTGACCAAGGATTGTATCAAGGCCATTGTTCAATAAAAAAAAAAAAGAATAAATGAATGAAAGAGAAATATATAGAGAAATACTAAGATGTCCTCTGTTGTTGAAGCACAAGATGCCCAAGCACAGCAACGGTCAACGCTCATCAAATGGGATAGATGTAGCAAAAATGGGATCTGCTCTACAAGACATGAGAAAGATTAATGGGACTATTTTGATTGAAGCAAATAAAAGTAGACATATTTATTTTAAGTATAGATACAAACTATATATAAACTAGTACTGAATTAAGCTAATGTAAACTCCAAAAGGCTAACTGATGGTGCACTCAGATCCGATATTCAAAATGAAAGAGTTTCTCCATGCATTTTGTAATCCCTGATCTGGAATCCCCACTAAACTAGTCCTGACACTAATCTAAGAATCTCAATACCCTACATAAGTTGAATGATGTAAAAAAAAAAAAAAAAAAAAAAAAAAAAAAAAAAGGAAGAAAAGGAGGAGTGAGCAAGAAATGAAAAATAAACATCCACGTGGGCGGGATTTGAAATAGTGCAGTGAGAGTTGATTTTTGGGCTTTTTTTTAGTGCATCATTAGTGGATACAAAAACAGCCGCCCCTTTTTTTACAGAAATCGTCACAATTAAACATCAACAAATAGTATTTATCTCTTCTTATTATAGCAGTCCTCACTGGCAAAACTACTGTTGAGTCTTCAATAGAAATGGCATTTTGAGATTAATCTTATTTTACATTTTTTGTATCATAGCATTAATCGTTATTGTCCCTGTATTTGTTTTTCCTGACGTTTTCTTAGTGGAGAAGTATTTCATGAGTGGTAGCCAAAAATACAGTGGTGGTGAACAATGAAAAAACGATGCATAAACAAATAAACTCCGTTTCCTTAAAATGGAAATAATAACGTATTTTGTTGAGAATGGTTTTAATCAACAAATATAGAAGAACAACAAAAGTGAAAGTTACTAATATACCAGTAAAACATATAATGTTTTGAAAACATTTATAATGAGTATCATACATAAGCCAATAACATGGTGTCCTTTGGTAGTATCATCCAGTAACGTACAGCATACCACTACATCAAGCAAATGTTTAAAAGTATATCAATCATACCTCCTTTGTTAGATGAATATCAAATACAATTTTTCGGACTATTGTCTTCTATTTAATCGGATCAGGTCAATACCAAGAACTAATAATCCAAATCCAGAAAAGACAATTCTGCTTCAAATACAGTCAAAAGAGAAATACCTTTGACATTTATCAAGAAAACTCGTTTAGTTCGAACACACCTCATTATATTTGACGCAAGAAACACATTTCTAGCCCAATCAAAAGGTAAATGTACTCAACTACTTATACCCCGAACAATAAAATCGGAGCTTCCAACTCCCACCAAAACATAAAATCAGTTTCTGAAATAAACACCATCTTCCATTGTCTAAAACCAAGAACAAAGAAGTCTTCCAACGACAACAAAACATATTTAAACCAAAAAAAGGTTCATAAGAACAAAAAGTTGATGAGAGTGGGATTCGAACCCACGCCATTTCTGACCAGAGCCTAAATCTGGCGCCTTAGACCGCTCGGCCATCTCACCGGTTATATCCGGAATTTTGAAACGTAGTATATATGTCAAGATAAACGGAGTTTCAAACGAACGAAACCTTCGAAATGACATTACGCAAGCATACTCAATACATATAAAATAGAGATTTGTTTTTAAAATAGATTCTGTATTCTTTTGTGTGTATTTTGATAACGATATTATTACAAATTTTCATTAAAAAAGAACAGACAATTTCAAAAATCAAAACTCAGTTCATCCACAGATTAAACTTACGATAGACGTCAGATCGATTGATGCCACCTCTTACTGTACCTAGCCTTTTTTTTTTTTTTTTTTTTTCTACACGTTCATGTACTGTACAGTACATTGTGGTATAAATTTCCTCATTTGACAAAACAAACTAACGTATGAGAAATGGCGTATAAGCCCCCCCACAAAAAAGACATATTTTATTTGGATGTAGACGATACAAGCTATGACAACTAATATAAACTGGTCTAACTATAATACTATGGCACATATCTAAATGCAAGGCAATTAAGGGGGGGTGTGTGACTGTGCGTGGGAGTGTGAGTATTATGTTGTAGGATAAAAATAACGCCAGATAAGCTAATCCTGCCAACGAGTGGAAACCATCCGACGTTGAGCGACAAATCATTTTATAGTAGAGTGGTGTTAACTAAACGGGGCCGAATTGTTCCATTTTGCCTGCAAATGCATCAAATGAAGAGAATGTCCTTGCTGTCGATGATGAATGGTGACGATTAATTACCATGAGAAGTGAACCATCGTACAGTGAATGGTGGTTGTCAAAAAAAAAAAAAGGGAGGAGGGATGGTATCCACCACAAAAAAAAACACGCATTTCAAATCCCGCACACGTGTATATTTATTTTCCGCGACTTGTTAATTTTTCGCTCTTCCTTTCTTTCCTTTCTTCCCTTCAGTTTTTTCTTCACCATTCAGCTTATCTGAAGTCATGGTGGACTTAGATTAGTGTCAGGACTAGTGTAGAGGGGTGTTTTAGCTCAGGGATTACAAGATGCATGGGAAAACCCTTTCATTTTAGTGTCAGGATCTGGGGAGGCAACGTCAGTGTGGCCTTTTGGAGCCTTCATTAGCTTAGTTTAATATTAGTTTATCTATAGTTTGTACTCATATTTAAAATAAAATATGCCTCTTTACTGTTTTATTGAAAAGTGTCCCGTTAGTCATTCTCATGTCTTGTGCAATATATTTCTCTTTTTTTTTTTTTTTTACCACCAATCCTCATTTGATTGGTGTTGACTGATATTATTCTTCAATAAAAAGATATCCCTTGATAGCCTGTCTCGCACGTTGCAGTGTATTAGATCTCTTTTCACAACCGTCCCTTTAGATAGTGTACACCATTATTTAGATCCTCCAGTAATCGCATTCATGTTACTTACAGTAGATCCCTCGCTACAATAGGCCCCGAAACTTTAGTTTAGTATTGTCTATTTATTATGCTTCAATAAAAACTGTCATATTCACTAACTATAATCTGACACTCATTTGATCGTAGTCAAAGCGGTTGTTGTAGCTATTTTTTGAGCACCCTATCAAACACTCGCTTTCTACTTCAGTCAATATGAATACCCGCGTTGAGCCCCAGTGATCGGTTGGTGGTTCTAGGTCACTTTATATCAATTCACTTGGGCTATGTCTTCCTCATATTCTCTCCTATAATATATGATGACTTTCACTAGATTGGACATATTGAATATATCTAGGACACTATTTTCACTGCGTATGGTCTATTAAGAAGGTTTAAAATCCAAGCAGAGAACCCATTTGGCCCTAAGAGGACTCCCCTCAAAGAATGATATGAAGCTGGTAACAACCCTTATCCGTTTTTTTTTTTCGTTTTGTTTCTTTATGTACACAAAAAGACTAAGTTGGTGGAGTGCTGAGCATGACGATCGGGTTCCAAGGGGCTAACTACCAAAATGCAAAATGGTAGAGGTGTAAAACAAACCCCATCCTATCAAAGCGCTTTAGCAGCTACATCTACCGAACTCACTCAGTAAATCTATGGTTTCCTAAAACTTCACTGGAGTACCAGAACGTTTATTTTATGAAAGTAGAAGTGAAAGAATGTCATGTTAATGACAAATGACGGTAGGAACGGAAGAGTGAGATACTAACGACTAAAAACGAAAGAGTACAGGTGAAGTAGGACGAGTAAAAGATAAAAAAAAAGAGAATTAGAAAGGTGGATGCAGACAGGGATGTTTTTATTTTCGTGCTTCTCCACATTTCATTGCTATTTGATGATTATTTGCCTATTTTTTTTTAACAAGGACAAATGTGTCTTCTTCACTTCACCACAACCCTGACAACGTTCTATTAGAAACAAGAAAGAATAATAAAATGGTATATCGTATCAAAGTAAACTAACCAATATATATAATAGAGGATATTTAATAACAAGTGGTAGCCAAAATAAGAGTAAATTGTAGTTTATATTTGAATGATAACTAAATATGATAACTGATAGCTAACAAAAAGGTGTACAAAAATGATTGACATTTATTGTTTTTATTAGGTAAAGAGAATGATGGTTATACTAATGAAAAACCTAAACTAAATCGCGGGAGGGGTCAAGAAAGGGTAAGATGTCATAAATTAGTAATAAGAGACACTAGAGAGGAAAAGTTCATAGCATACAGAAAGGAGGGATAACAAGAAAAGCGAAATAAAAAAGATATTAGCATATCAGATACATTCCCTATACATGTTTCAACTTACTTGAAGACCCATCAGCATTAAATACCTTTTTCATGGTTCTGCTCGGATTATCCGGACAAAAATGTTTAGATAAAGCTTCCCTGATTTTGATAACAATAAAAATGACAGAGATATTAGTATGTATATTAGTAGAACTGATATAAATGTAGCGTACCTAGTTTCCACATAACTACAAAATATAGTTATAGGTGAGTGTATAACAGAAGCCTTGATCAGTAAAGATTTGGAGCCAGACGGATACCAGTCATCAACACAGGACATTCAATATACTGTAAACTAAAACAAGTGCCACCAACATCTCCGCTGGAATATAATCAAACCACCCATTTCATAAGCTTTACCTTCCAGCGTAATAATTCCTTTTTTTTTTTTTTTTTTTTTTTTTTTTTTTTTTTTTTTTTACAAATGCGTGTGCACATGGTACCAGATATTTGACGGTGGAGGATGAAAATTCAAAACCGAGCAATATATTAGGTGGTTGGTTAATGGCGTAAGGGCAGGCCACGGTAACGTTTTTTTTTGTTGTTTTTTTTCCTACTCAGTAATAATAAATAATAATAAATATATCATCAGTATTAATGTCAGTATATAAGTCCCAGTGTTGAATTCAAGAAATATTACACTTTACATAACGTTAAGTCGCACTAATTGAGACCACCATAACCGTTGAATAAAAAAAAAAAAGAAAGAAAACGAAAGAAAGAAAAATCTGTGAAACGCCAACGTATTTCCTGTCGGCAATTGAAATAGGATCCACCCCTTTATGCCGCCACCGACAATATTTTTTTGACCCATTACCAAGTTTGGCACTTTGTTATGGTTTCACCACTTGTGTGTATATATATTATTTCTAAACGTATCATATCATCTTCATTCCTCTTCTTTTTTTTTTTTTTTAATTCTTCTCGATATAATAAAATCGCAAAAACTACCCACCACTTCTTTATACCATTCCCTTTTGCTTACCTATCGTCACAGTATCATATTAAAATCGGTCCCTAAACAAATAACGGTACATCATGCGATCTCTCTTTGTCAACAGTACCTATGAAGAACCTGTTCTTCTCGACAGTTCTTTTACTCGAAAATACTGTGGGATCATGTCACTAAGAGCAGGATGTGCACTGTCATGTATTGCTTGGATTGTAAGTCTTTCACCACATTTTTTGTCTAACGGCCAATTTATATGTGCTCATTGTTTTTTTTCAATTATGTTGTATAGGGAATTGGGTTTTATGGAAGCATCTTGGCCTTCCAGTTTAAAAGTCGTAATAATTCCCCCCGCAAAAAAGACAACTTTCAAACCCGGTCTAATATTTTTTCAACAGCAATATTTTCTTACATAGATCAAGGCGCACTGATTGCACAAGGGGTGATATGTTTGCTTTTGGTGATTGCAGGCGGGGCAGGGCTCACTGGCCTTTATGCCGAGTCGATGTATATTTTGAATAGGGCCCATAAAGGAGCATGGTTTGCCGTATTTGCATTTTTGGTCGATTTTTTTGTCAGCATTGTGCTGTTTGGGATCCAAGAACATGATAATGCTGACTGGTGCTTCGATCAATCAAAAAACAATGTAGATGAGCACGTATCTTTACCAAACTCAACCGCGATTCCTTTCACTCCACCAAGCTCAAATGATTTTTACAATTGCAGTAAGCTTTGGCAAGACGAACTCAAGTTTGCGATTGCTATTTATATTGTCTTTTTAATATTTTTTGTAAGATGATTTTCTATCTTTACCACAGGATTATTCGAGTATTTTAATAACTTTGCTTATTGAACATAGATCTACTGGGCATGGTGTTTATGGGCGTACACCCAAAAACTGCGGGTGTTGAAAGATGCTGATTATTACACTAGCGAAGAATTCCAAATGCGACAAAATTTCCCTGGACCTCCTCCTCCTGGATTTTACAACCTTCCTCCTACAAAATCGGGTGCCGTCCATCCTCATATCAATAGCAATGATAACCAACGAAGTATGGCCCAAGTGGCAAGTGACTTTATAGATCGCTTCAAGTCATAGATATAATTCATTTCTTTTGTACATATCCTCTTCATCTTTGTTTCCCTCTCCCTTTTACTTCCCCAACATTCTATATACATGATCCTCTATCTCCCAGTTATTAATAAATTTTTCATCCAACCCAGTATTTTGCCAATCCTTTTTGCCCATATATTCTTACTGGCTAAAAAAATAAAAAAATTCACGACTTTTATTTTTAAATGTCCGTCCAAGGTTTTATGTCGCTCATT